CTTCCTCCCCATTTCCACAAGTTCAAATCATATTAAGCCTTCAAAGTCCAGCTTAAATGCTACTTCATCAATAAACCTTTCCCTGATTGCACTCCCTCTTTCACTCCAGTCAAGAACTCCCATATGGGGTGCCTGGGTGGCTCAGTTAGGCTCAGTTGTTAAGCATCTGCCTTCGGCTCAGGTCATGATCCCGGGGTCTTGGGATTGAACCCTACATTGGGCTCCCTGCTCTGTGGGAGGCCTGCTTCTCTCTCTCCCACTCCCCCTGCTTGTTTTCCCTCTCTTGCTGTGTCTCTCTCTGTCAAATAAATAAATAAAATCTTATAAAAAAAAATAACTCCCATATACTTTCATTTCTCACTTGTGACATACGTCACTTTTCACCTTGTTCTTAAACTCACCATGAACTTGCATTTCTCTGTACTTACTATTCCCTCTCCCTAAAATGCCCTCTCCCTTCTCCTTGACTGTTGAACTCTTACTCATCTTTTAAGACCCATCTCAACTATCTTTTCTGGGAAGCCTTTCTAGACTTCCCTATGCTGACTTACTTTCTTCTTGAACATCCTTACAAAGCATTTTCATAATGAAATAATAATTTACATGTCTACCTACTAGTTTCTGAGCTTTCCCTCATCTTTATATCCCTAATGTCTAGGGTTATGTCTGGCACATTATAAATCCTCTATAAGCTAAAACGAATCTATGAATGAGTGGTTGAGTGAAGAAACGAACTAATCTTAGCTCATCCAGAGATGATAAACTAGTTGTTGCGGCAAGTAGACTTTCATTTTATCTCTCTCACTGAACCCAGCACAGTGCTTTGTGCCCGCTCAGTACTCAGTATTTGTTGACCGAACAAATTCATTAAACCACAAAACAATTCTTTAATCCCTTCTTTCCCTTATTCATCCTGTTTTGACCTATCACTCCTTCATGATCCTCTTCTCTTGGCCACAGGATCACACCCTTTAAATGCCTGTATCATTGCCATGTAAGACTAAGGTGCTGGGGCGCCTGGGTGGCTCAATCGGATAACCGTCTGCCTTCAGCTTAGCTCATGATCCCAGGGTCCTGGGACTGAGTCCTGCATCAGGCTCCCTGCTCGGAGCCTGCTTCTCCCTCTCCCTTTGCCCCTCCCCTCAGCTCCTGCACACACTCTCTCTCAAATAAATAAATAAATAAAATCTTTAAAAAAAAAAAGACTGAGGTGGCCTAATATGGAAAAACAATAGTTTTCATCTCTACATCTAGATGGAACATCTGTGATTTAGTCCTTTCCATTTCCTGTCCAATCCCCTATGAAGTCTCATCTCCCCTAGCTTACCTCCTGATGACCCCTTATCAGGCTGTCCACTAAAGCTGGGAGTGTTGACGGGAGGTGGGGCTGGGGCACTGGTCAGAACACTCTGCTTTGGCTTTTTAGCTGGCATCTGGGGTTCAATCTTTAACCCCTTCAGGGCCTCAGTAGAGAGATTACGTTTGAGTACTGCTGCCTTTTTATAGCCATCATATAAACCAAAGGCAATGTCCCGATTGGTGGTTGTCCAGGAAGCCCGTAAATCTACCAAGTGCAGCTGGTGTGTATGAAAGGCAGGATCCCCAACTCGAGTAGAGAGCTCCTAAGAAACAGGTAAAGAACCACAGGTAGCATGGAAATTCCCAGTTTCTCCTGGACCACAAATGTAGAGACAAGAAAACAAACTTGTTGAATAAGCAATCTATTCTTGGAGCACCTGGATGGCTCAGTCGGTTAAGTGTCTGCCTTCGGCTCAGGTCATGATCCCAGGGTCCTGGGATTGAGTCCCACATTGGACTCCCTGCTCGGCGGGGAGTCTGCTTCTCCCTCTCCCTCTGCTCCTCCTCCTGCTCATACTCTCATTCTCTCTCTCTCAAATAAATAAATATATATATAAAAAAAAGATTCTCTCTCTCCCTCTCCTTCTGTCCCTCCCCCCCACCTAAAAAGGAACAAAAAAATCTGTTCTGGGAGAGCTAAGACGACCCTGGAGAAAGAAAAACTAAGTGGTCTTAATGTGTGCATTAGACTACACTCAGACTATATCCACTATATTTTAAACGGTTCAGAAAATTTCAACATATGGGTCGCCTAGCTATCTCAGTCGGTAGAGCATGTGACTCTTGATCTCAGGGTTGTGAGTCTAACCCCACCTTGGGCATGGAGCCTACTTAATTAAAAAAACGAACAAAAAAACATTTCAACATAAAATCTTTCCTTAATTGGGGGAAAAAAAACACCAAATAAGGTGCTTGGAAAAAAGTTTTAACTGTTTCCTAAAAGGCAAGAGACTACCTTTAGAAGGAGAGGGAGAAAAGGAATTTTCAAAAAGAGGCACACTGATACAGCTGATAGTGAATTCATCATACGGTAATGATACATATGCTTGGAATATAGTTAGAAACGTTACCTGGACCTTAGCCTGAAACCTGCTATGGACTGAATTGTTCCCCCAACCAAACTTCATATGTTGAGACCATAATCCCCAATGTGATAATATTTGGAGATGTGGCCCTTAGGAGGTAATGAGGTTTATATGAGGTCATGAGGGTGGGGCCCTTATGAAGGGATTAGTGCCCTTATAAGAAGAGACACCAGAGAGCAGCTCCCTCTCTCTTTTCCTGCCTTGTGAGGACACAGCAAAGGCAACTGTCTACAAGCCAGGAAAGAGCCCTCACTGGAATCTGACTAGCCTGGCAACCTGATCTTAGACTTCCCAGCCTCCAGAACTATGAGAAATAAATTTCTGTTGTTTAAGCCACACATTCTTTGGTATTCTGTTATGATAGCCCAAGCAACCAAGACACCTACTGATACAAATAAGGCAGTAAAGAGACTGTGTCAGGCAGTACCTCCTCAGCCGTGCGATTGCTATGCCGCTGGTAGGTGAGGGAGGACAGGCTCAGTAGGTGGGTCTTTGTTACCAAGGGATCAAGGCAGTGATCAGCATTTTCTTCAGTGGGCGAAGCCATCAGGTGAACAGTCACCTGACTTAGGTCACTAACCATCTGGGTCACACTCCAGTCAGAGATGAGGCGCCGCATCACTGTGCCCGCTGAGAAAAGGAGGCATACAGAGCCCATGCAGGCCAGTACAGAAGAACAGCGTGGGACAGAAAGAAGGACGAGAAATGAGAAGGGCAAGGAGGGCAAGGATCAGGCTAGGCGAAATGAAGGCAGTCTTTGAACCTACCTTGAGGTATAAGCCGCTGAGTTCCCCTAGTAAAGACATGGCCCTGACTGCACTCAATCTGGACGCCCCGTTGCTGGGCGAATGAGGCCCAGTAATGCACCTGGCAACAAGAGAGCATAACACTGAACAAAAAATGGCATCAGAGAGATGATTAAGATAAGAAAAAAGGAGAACACTAGAGAAGGGGAAGAGAACTAAAGATGTCAGCAGGGATGTCAGAGCCTGACCTGCAGCTGGGGAAAAAGTGCAGTATAGGAAAGCTGCTTGTAGTGCTGGCCAAGTTTCTTCTTGCTAGGTTTCAGGTTATTGAAGAGCTTTCCCCTACAGATAGGCCTTGTGACACTAGTCCAAGTTGCCCAGAAGTTTTGCATCCAGCGCAGGGTACTACTATATAACAGAATCCGGGGCTGGGATATTGCTGTAAAAGACAAGATAAACCTTACCTACCTGGGATTAAAATTAAAACAGAGATGAAGCTAAATCCATCCCTAGCTTCAGCTTTTAGAAGTTTAAAAACCCAAGCAGCATTCAGCCTCAACTCAATATCCCCAACGCCCTTTCCTTTTAAAGATCTAAGCTTTGGGGGCACCTGGGTGGCTCGGATGGTTAAGCATCTACCTTTGGCTCAAGTCATGATCTCTAGGTCCTGGGATCGATCCCCCATCTGGCTTCCTGCTCAGTGGGGAACCTGCTTCTCCCTCTCCCTCTCCCCCTGCTTGTGCTGTCTCCCTCTCCCAAATGAATAAATAAAATCTTAAAAAAATGTAAGCTTTGTGTTCACCAACGCTTTCTCCAAAAAAGGTCCTAATCCAAATCCGCCCTTGCTTTCCCTATCCCCTCCCCAGAGGGTCAGGTTGAAGTCCTCAGTGTTTAAGCCCATCCTCCCAACCCTTCCTCCCGTTGCCCCAGACCCAAGCCTCACTCCCACTGTGCCGGGTCAGATCCATCTTGATGGAGAGATTGAGGTTCTCAGAGCGGAATGCCCGGTAGGAGTCATGGAGCTGGCCCAAGGGCACCTCAGGCAGAAACTCTGGGGCCCGCAGAGTGACACTGTGGTGATCATGGGGGTTTCCATGGCATAGCCACTGCAGGTCCAGTGTCATGCAGAGGTCAGGCAGGTGAAGGAAGCAGCAGTCATCATACCTGTCTCAGAAGAGAGTCCCAGCTCTCAGTGCCCTGGTCACTTGCAACCCCCTGGCTCTTCCCCTCTCCCCCCACCCAAATCCCTCACCGTGTTGAGGCCCCACCCATCACTCCACTCACTTAGAAGCTGTTCTCACGTTGACATCCAAGTCACCTTTGAACACAAACTGACCAGGTTTCCAGTGAAAAGACAGGTGGCTCCACTCCCAGTGCATATTTTCTGTTGTGTTGTACGGGTCCTATAACCAACCCCAACAGCTCGGTGAGATCTGGATAAGAGTATCACCCAAATCTCCCAAATGAGTACCGTTCTCTCTTCTCCCATGTGCTATACAAGCCCCAACCATACCATCCTAATAAGAAAACAACTCCTCTGGAGCCCCTCACCTCAGTAGCCAGCTGGTGCAGATTTGCCTGTTCAATGTCCATGTGCCAGTCCCCATGGAACAGAAGACGGCTCTTATCCCACCAGGGCAAGGGGGGGCTGGGGTCAGCTGAGGGCTTGGTCAAGAGGTCCACAGACTGGCTAATCAGTGTCCAGGCTGGATCCCAGCAAGGGCCCCATACCACTGTGTACTGAAAGATTTCCGCTAGGACAGAGGAGCGAAGGATACAGCTTGTTACACAACTTCTCTCTTCACTCCAGAAGGCCTCAGCTCCTCTCCCATCCCAGCCATCACCACGTCCCTCAGCCAAACCGACTGCCCTCCTCTACTCACAGCGGAAGTCGTGATAGAACTTGAGTGGGGGCATGTTCCTCTCTACTGCCACATTACCCCATGGAAGCCCCAAGTGCAAGATCTGACGCCGCCGGGAGCAAGGCTGACCACTCTGCTCAGTGCCCACAAGTCGACCCATCAGCCGCCAGTCACGTATCTCGAACAGGTACCGGGGATAATCTCTTATCCGGACTGTTATTACAGGGAGGATATACGCTATTTAGAGGACTGTCTCAACATTCTCAAGCATTTTCTCCCCTGCCACAACTTTTACCCATCTATTTAACAAGGTCAACTGAGAGAACAAGAGCTGGCAGTTGAGAGAAAAGCTGGAAAAGGGCATGAGGACACTGAGCAGACGGTGAGGGTAATAACACCGAGATGCAAGAGGCACACTAACCCTGAAGATGACTGTGTTAGTTGTCCTTTATGTTAGCCAAGCAGTTTCAGGGTGAAATTCAGGAACAAAGAAAGGAAGAGCCCACCCATCCCACTCCACCCATCCAAAAACCACTACCGTTCCCAATATAACTGAGCTCCTCAGCAGTCACTCAGAGAGCTTTCTAGAGCTCTGAGGGCAAACACCACACTCTGCAAATAAGGAAGGGCTACTTACCCAAAAATGTCTTAACACTGCACTTGAGCATACGACACCACTGAATGACAAGATCTATTCCCTCGGCAGGAAAAGGGCTGCCTGGATCAAGCTCTTGAACTTGCTCTACTACACGCTCAGGGCCATGGAAGGAGGCATCTGCCAGAGCTACCAGCTCTAGTCCTGCCAGGCTCCAAGTGAGCAGTGCCCGGCGCATAGGTGTGTTGCCATAGAGACGACGGGAGCGCTGAATGTAGATTTCAATGTTTTTATGTTCCAAAGAGGCATAGAGCTCCTCAATTTTACGGGCTGGCAATAACTCCCCGTGTTGCTTCCGAAGGGCAGCCACCTTGGCATCCAGCAGCTGCAGTCTTTTGGCACTCTCCTTACTTTCATCCTTCATCAGTTCATAGTTATCACGAAGTTTCACCTCAAAAACGTCATCCAGGAAAACCCATGAGAAGTGCTGAACCTTCAAGAGTAGATCAGGTGGGAGTGGGGCAGGGCTTGCAGAAGCTTGAGCATGAGTTCCTCGATGCAGCCCCTTCAGCCATTTCTGAACTCCCACAGCCTCATCCAGAGTTCGAGAGAAATCATACTGGTAAGGAAACTCCACTGAGACTGAGCCCAGGGAGAGGAGCCAAACACGGTTCCGGAGGGTCTGCAGCACAGGGAAAGGGTTCCGGTGCAGGATCATCTCCTCCAGTTCAGGCAGCAGCTGTACCTCCACCTCCTTGAAGCTGAAGATGCTATTGCCATCAAAGCCAGCAGCCAGCTCTGGGCAGTAAGCCTGCAGTGAACCCCCATGCCGGGTCAGCGACACGCTCTCCGCAGCCAGGGTAATGAACTTGTCCTCAGCTACAAAAGCTGTCAGCTTAGCTGTGCTCACCTCTAGCGTCAGATTTAGTAGCCGCTTTGGGGGAGATGGCTCAGGGAGAAGGTCTTTGGGTTCAGACGCAGTCACTGGAGGCTCTAGTGCAAGGAGTGGAACAGACTCGGGAAACAGAGTGGCTCTTAGTAGGTCTCGGCAATGCAGGGTAGCCAGGATGTGCTGGTATAGGTACATGTGATCTGGGGGGCTCCAAAGTAAGGTGAGCCCTGTACCACACTGAACCTTCAGGGAGCAAGAGAAAGGGATCTGTCAATCATAATATCCCAAAACAGGAGAAATGGCTGGGATTATTATTACACAAGCACACCTGGGTCAAGAACCATCTCCACTCAGAACCATTTCCTGAGCAACTACATCAATTACTCCCTTGCCTTGTTCCCCCTCGTATGAATATACTGAGCTAACAGTTCTTATAGGTCAGTGCACTTACACTTTTGAGTTCTCAACTGGATTCTAGATTGTCCGAGAGTATAGGCCGTGAGTGTTGATTCTTTAATATCTACCATAGGATATGCAGTGTATACAGCACATACTTAGTAAGTCACTTGGCTTTTTGTTTCTGTGAGTTATCTGTCTATAATAGCCTCGCTCTGTATAATAACCACTGCAACAATCAATTTGAAAATGTTTTATGCTGGGGCACCTGGGTGGCTCTGTCATTAAGTGTCTGCCTTTGGCTCAGGTCATGATCCCAGGGTCCTGGGATCGAGCCCCACATCGGGCTCCCCGCTCAGCGGGAAGCCTGCTTCTCCCTCTCCCACTCCCCCTCCTTGTGTTCCCTCTCTCGCTGCGTCAAATAAGTAAATAAATCTTAAAAAAAAAAAAGAAAAGAAAATGTTTTATGCAGGGCGCCTGGGTAGCTCAGTCAGTTAAGCATCTGCCTTCGGCTCAGGTCATGATCCCAGGGTCCTGGGATCGAGCCCTGCATTGAGCTCCCTGCTCAGCGGGGAGTCTACTTCTCCCTCTGCCCCTCACCCCACTCGTGCTCTCTCTCTATCTCAAATAAATAAATAAAATCTTAAAAAAATTTTTTTCATGCAATGATTGCATCTTAATTTTATTTTAAAGATTTTATTTATTCATTTTAGGCAGGAGAGAGAGCGTGTGCAAGTGGGGATGGGCAGAGGAAGAGGGAGAAAACACCTGAAGAAGAGTTCACACTGAGCACAAAGCCTGACATGGGGCTCGATCCCACAACTGCGAGATCACAACCTGAGCAGAAACCAAGAATTGGACACTCAACCAACGGAGCCACCCAGGAGCCCCTTGACTTAATTCTTAAGTATAAAAAGGACTGACCACACAAGTCAATACAGCAATTGACTTATATGAAAATATGCCTCAAAGAAAGGAGTCCTTGTAAGCTTAAAAAACAAAGTCAATTCTGAATAGTTAAGCAAAGAAAATTTAAATTCCAGAACAGAAAAATGCCTTTGAGTTCCAACCTCTGAAAAGGCAACTCCTCCTTCTAAACGAAGCTGAAGTCTGAGAATTAGAAAGCTATACCACTCCTTCCTAAGAGCATTCCATATTCACCTGATACCCTGAGGAGAAAGATCTTGGAAAGCCTCTTAAAACTTGCCGGTGCCTCCATCTTCAGATCCCTTCCAACCTTTTATTTTTTTAAAGACTCTATTTTTAAGATGTCTCTACACCCAACGTGGGGCTTGAACTTACAACCGCAAGATAAGAGTCGCATACTCCACCAACTGAGCCAGCCAGGCACCCCTCCCTTCCAGCTTTTAATGAGCTGAGTACTTCAGCGAAATAACACCAGATCATGATCTTTAAAAAAAAATCCCTTATTTTTCAGAGACATGCACTGAAATATTTACAGTTGAAATTATATGTCCTGGTATATTCTGCTTCAAAATAATCTGGGAGCGGGCAGCAGGGCAACTGGTGGGTATACAGCTGAAATAAGTTGGTAATAAGTGGTAATTACTGAAGCTGGGTATGGATACATACAATTTCATATATTCTCTCTAGTTCTGTGTATATTTTATGTTTCATAATAAAGAGTTAAAAATGTACAGAAGAAGCCAGGACAAAAAGAATAATACAAGGTGTCATGTTTCTCACAGTTGAGTTTCACAACAGACTCAGAAGACTGGGAAATGCTCTTCAGCCTAGAGAAAAACCAACCTGACTCCACCTCCCCCCACAGAAGCATTACCTCCAGAGAGCGGATGCTGCTGTGATAGGTAATGGAGACCATGGAGAGGCTGAGCACGGGAGCGGGGATGTCAGGAGCCTTGCAGCAGGGCTGCATCTTCTCTGTGACTGACTTCACCAGGGCAAGCACAAGTCCCTGGACACCCACAGTGGAAGTTTCAGCACTTCCCAGGACAGTCAGCGTGTCCAGTCGGACCTCGGAAGCACCTAACATCCAGAAACCACGTTAGCATTGGTTCTCAGCTCTCAAACGGCAACTTCAGCCTTCACTCTTTCTTACTCATTCCCTTCACTCTAGTTTTCTTTATTCCCTATACCTCCCTAAGTTCATTCCTCATGTTTCAGGGAAATTTTTCCTTTCCTATCTTACCATACTTAAATCTGAAAAAGCCAAAGAAGCTTCCTAACTCCTACAAAGTGCCCAGAGATATATCAGTTACTCTCCAGAATTAACACATAAGGAAATAAAAAACTATGCATGTCGCAATTTCTAGATCAACTATCAAGGCTTTTTTTTTTTTTTTAAATAAATCTTGCTTAATACTTAGTATCTTCTATTAGCCTTTAAGAAATTTCAAGAAACCCAACAGTTATGTAAGACCTTCCAGCACCTCATGCCTTTAATTTAGAAAAAGGCCAAATAATCACCTTCATTAAATGAGAAGGTGCAGACTGAACCAGCATAATCTGCTTAGATTACAAACTACTCACTTAGGTATAGACTCCCTATCCCACTTACCAACCAGGGCAGAAAGGGTGAACAAATTCATGTCCTCCACCTTCAAGTCCACCTTCCACAGTAATGACACAGATTCCCCAAATGAAGATTCTCTAGCAACAGCTGACTTCCCAGATTGTGTGTCCATCAAGGATAAAATGCGAGAGAGACATTGGGCACAGGTATCTGATGCTTCTACCTGCAGTCCACGGATGGTACAATCAAGAAAGAGGGTATCCGACTGGGTACTAGACAGGCCCAAAGGCTGGTTATAGCTACCCTAGAAAAGAAGAGATAGCCCCATTAGGAGCATGTAGAACACACAGTTCTGTAACACCCTGATGCATCTTTTTTTTTTTTTTTGAAGATTTTATTTATTTATTTGAGAGAGAGAGAATGAGAGTGGGAGCATGAGAGGGGAGAGGGTCAGAGGAAGAAGCAGACTCCCTGCCAGGCAGGGAGCCCGACGTGGGACTCGATCCCGGGACTCCAGGATCATGACCTGAGCCGAAGGCAGTCGATTAACCAACTGAGCCACCCAGGCGCCCTGATGCATCATCTTCTGCCAAAAAGGTGATCCGTACTCTAAAGCATGGCAGGAGAAAGAAACTGTATAGGCCCCTGTTCCCCAAAGTCCCCACCTACCTGTAGTGTGAAGGAGTCCAGGACAAGTGCTTCACCCCAAACATGCATATTGGGTGGGTGGGGTGCCCGCTGAATGTGGGAGTCACTGCCCACCCGCCAGCAGAGATGGTCCACAGTTAGGACACCCCGCTGATGGATACTTTGTGGCCTCAAGTGCTGGTAATCTGAACAAAGAAGGTAGGAGAGAGTTCTATGGAGCCACTGTAGCCATCAATTGGGCCTGGCTTCACTTATTCCTTTTCCATCCCATAGTCTTACCTAGAGAGATGGAATTGAATCCCAAGGCAAAGGGTGGTGTATCACCAAGCTGAATGGAAACGTTGACATTGGAGATGGAGGTGCTAAAGATGATGGGAGCCAGGATTTGGGGGAAGGTTCTGCATAGGGACAAGACATCATTGTTTGATAAGGAAAGAACTGCGGCTTCCTGTTATGGAAAAGATACCTGAAGCTCTCAAAAGTCAGGGTGAGTCTTGTTGTGATTCTTAGGATGGAATGCAACTAGAAAATAAAAGACCGAACTAATAAGTTTGCTATTCCCAATGGTAAACTGCAGGAATGCAAGAAAGATATTAGGTTGAACCATATGAGATTGCCATTTCATAGGTCAAATATAAATGTCAAATATGAACATCAGTATATCACATGTTTCAACCTAATACAACCAAGGAAAAAGATTTTATTGTCACAGAAGGGGGGGAGAGGGAGGGAGGGAGGGAAGGAGGGAGGGAGGGAGAGAGAGAGAGAGAGAGAGAGAGAGAGAGAGAGAGAGGGAGAGGAAGAGAGGGAGAGAGGGAGAGGGAGAGGGAGAGAGGGAGAGAGGGAGAGAGAGAGAGAGAGAGCGAGCGCACACAAGCAGGGGAAGCAGCAGGCTCCCCACTGAGCAGGGAGCCCAATGCGGGACTCGATCCCAGCACCCTGGGATCATGGCTTGAGCCGAAGGCAGACACTTAACCAACTGAGCCACCCAGCTGTCCCTGCTTCCAAGCCATTAACCTTAAGTTCTCTATGCAACACAATGCAGAGAGAGATGACACTGTTGACAGGACATATCACCTTATAATCTTAGGCAGACAAGATTGTGGATCATTTAAATTCAGTGATGCAATTGTTTATTTTGTATAATAAGGCACTGTGCTGGGCACTAAAGACTTAAGAACAAAAACGACTTCATCCTATTGTCAAAGAATCTAGTTTAATGCGGAAGATATGTAAAATAGCAGTGCTATTAGGGCACCTGGGTGGCTCAGTAAGTTAAGCGTCTTAACTCCTGATTTCAGCTCAGGTCATCATCTCAGGGTGGTGGGATCAAGCCCCTGCTTGGGATTCTCTCTCCCCCTCTCCTTCTGCCCCTCCTCCCACTGCTCCCATGCTTGCTCTCTCTCTTTCTCAAAAAATAAAAATAAATGAAACAGAATTGCTACTGAAGTAATCAAATATGTATTTAACACAATATGCCGCTTTAAAGATTTTATTTATTTATTTGAGAGAGAGAATGAGAGAGAGAGAGAGCATGAGAGGGGGAGGGTCAGAGGGAGAAGCAGACTTCCCGCTGAGCAGGGAGCCCGATGTGGGACTCGATCCCGGGACTCCAGAATCATGACCTGAGCGGAAGGCAGTCACTTAACCAACTGAGCCACCCAGGCGCCCCATACAATATGCCACTTTAGATCAAAAGAATCTGAGAACCCCCCTGATAAGATAGTGGCTAAAAAAGAGGACACTGACCTTTTCTTTCTTTGCTTAAAACCAGATGAACTAGACTCTTGGGTCTCCAATGCTAGCAGATGCAGCCACTGAGCGAATTCCTGGTGCCGGTAATGAACGATACATGTGTTCAAGACCACAGAGGCTGAGAGGTCAATGGTGGTCACCTGGAAATGACACCAGAACTGCGGGCTCAGGTTTTAGCCCAGTAGCTCACAATGCAATGATACAGTGGAGAGCAGAGAAAGAAATGAGGTCTTGGGATCACAATCAACACACCTGCACACTAGCCTTGAGGGAGTTGAGACAGACAATGCGCTGGCGGCTCTGGGACAGCAACAACCCATCTGTGAGGGCAAACAGCAGATCAGAGAAGAACACTGGGGAAAACAACAGGTAAAACTAGGAGAGGGTCAGAGACAGGCAAGCAGATGAATAGACTGTCACCAAAACTCCTGAGTTGGAGCTTTTTTCTCTCAGTATGTTCCCTCTCCCCATCCCCAGCTACACTGATATTAAGAAGGCCAACTGGGGCATGGGGGAAAGGGAGGGTCTAGTCCTCTCGGTACCAACATCCCCCAGGAACCTTTCAGTAGGAGTTCAGTGCTCATCTGTGCCATATCAGAGTTTGCTGTGAAGCTTCGAAGAGGCAGCTGATCCTCATCACGGTGGTACAGGAAATGTAGCAGCTTCAGCGTCCAGTTCAGGTGCCTGGACCAGAGACAGACTCTGGCTCAGAAATACATGGAATGTTGTTCTCACTCCCTTTCTCCCCACAGACAAGCTCAGTGCAGTGCAGCTACTAGGCTGGTTATAGAGAGCCCAGCATATTGCTCACCTCTTTTGACTATTCATGGACAGCACCACACTTGTAATCTCCATTTTCACCTTGACCTGATCTGGCAGCTGCTGAAGGAGGTACAGGCCAGGCAGAGTTGGCTCAGCCCAGTTCTCTGTCACCTCTGAAAACATGAATGAATAACACAAGAGCCATCAATCCCTAACACACTCAAGTCTCCCAAAATGCCCCATCCTCTTTGGCCAAATCTTCCCACATAAGTAGGCTAACCAAAGGCCCAATCCTAGGCCACAAGGCAAGTATCCCAGAGATCCAGGCACCCGCTGTACTTCGTTCCCCGGAATTTAAAAAATAGTATGGGGAGCAGGTTGATATAATGCAAAGAATATGGACTTTAGGACAAAATAATTTACACCCCATTTTTACAAATGACTAGCTCTATGACCTCAGTCAAGTCACCTATCTGCTCTTCTTGGCTTCAGTTTCCTCATTTGTGATATGCTGAGAATTTAGTGAGAGCCAATACAGAAAACTCGTACTACAAGTCTAATTCATGATAATTACCCACTAAATGTTAGTTCTTTCCTTCACCACAAGTAAACGCCCGATTTCTTTGAGCTATCCTCAGCGTCAAAGGTCATGCTAAATAAATCACACCTAAATTGAGACCACTATTTGTATGTAATTCCAGAATAATCAGAGAACAGCACAGAAAGCCAAGAAGCTTACTGACCAGGGCTTTACCTGGACAAGGAACAGGTTTGGGTGCCAGGCTTGGGCCTGGGCGTAGCAGCTGACTATGGAAAAGGCCCTCGTGCAGTTCCGCATGGAGTGTCCACATACCCACAGTGATCGACTTCAGTTGCCGACTGCTGATGCCCACCTCTAGACACAACTTTAGGGCCAGTGAGAGCTCCGCAAGGCAGGTATCCTCCTGCAGGAAGGATAAGCCTCTAAGGCGTTAAGATATAGGGAGTCTAGGAGTTTTGGGTCAAAATGCAGTGGTCTAGAACACCACCTTGAGAGAACCCCCCGTAAGAATACAGAATCTAGAACATAAGCTCCTTCATATCTTATGCCCAGAAGGACACAAGGCATCTAAATGACCACAGCATACTCACCAACTGGCCACTCTTTAGGACTTTGCTGTTGATCTGATTTAGG